GACAGGACTCTCCTCCCAGTCACCTTGTGTCTCCTTCAGGCCGTTTCTACTAGAACTCAGTGGTTATTTCTACACTATAGCACTGCTAGCTGTCAGAAATGTACCCTGATTCCTGTCTTCTAGGAGCTTACAATCTGGCAATATAATAAAGATAAAATGCATGAAATTAAATCATTAATTACCATGCAAAGAGGAGGAAAAGAAATGACAGGGAAGCATCCACTTACAAGAATGATAAAAAAATTTTGAATGTTGAAATTAAAAATAAGACATTTCTTACCTTAAAAAACTCACTACTATTAATCACAATTAAAATCCTACCCTCACTTACAGCACACTTCCGTCCACTTTCTGAAGCAGTCCCAGAAGTGCTTTTTTTGTGAACGTCTTTTTGTGGCTGCCTTGATGTCCTAAATCTATTCAAAACATTTATGGCAATTTCTGTCCAATAAAAACACGATGGTAAGTCTTCATCCACCTCACGCACCTTGTCTCTTCTGGTTCTTCCTAAAGTCAACATGCCTACGACAGGGCCCCGAAGTATCCCCCACAGCACAACTACAGACACGCACGAAAGGGGACTTGTAGAACTGCTTGAGAAAGTGGAAAGAGCCGTGGGACAACTGTTTGAAATGAGGGGGAAGCGGCAATGTATCTCTTCACGATAACAATTTAAAAAAACGTAAACAGTCCCTGTATTTTTCAATCACACTTTATACATGGACAAATCTACAAAACTGACAATTTATAAGGACACATTTGGGCAACTCGATGGCTAGTGTGCACCTTTATACCGTGGACATTATAAAGGTGCAGCTCTTCCTCCCTAAGTAGCTGGGTTTGGCAAATGCCCAAAGAAACTTTTCTTAAGAAGAACATGAGGATGGACAGGTAGTGTTCTTGTCCTTGGACTTCAACAGGAGACACACTTGCATCAATATAATTTTTTTAAAAGCAAAGCTTTCTGCCAGACTGAGGGGGCTTTTGGGGGTGGTGAGGGAAATGAACTGACAAACAGTAACTCAGTGTAAGTAACCCATGCATCACCAGTACCTGAGACAGGTCCTGAACAGTATATTAACAGAGCTTTAGTTTATCCCAGGCCTTGACGGGAGAGAGGAGGAGTAAAGCTGGGTAAGACAAAGAGCCCTGGATCACTGAACTGATAATGTAATTTCTGCTGCTGGCTGTTAATAATTTGGATTTTTATGCTTATAAGTGATAAAGATCTGTTTACAAAGGTTTGTAGATAGTTTTTTTTTAAATTCCTGTTCATAGATGGGAAGCTTCCTTATAACTCACGCACAGAAAAATTAGTGAAATACTGCCATATATTCAGGTAAAAAAAAGGGTGTTTCTATTGAAACTGCACTAAATTTTTGCCTATGATTTACCTTGTTAAATATTGTAGATAAATTGCTAATAGTGATAGCCAAATAGATAACATGAATGCTTTGTTTAAAAAAAGAAAAAAATAAACAAAACCACAAAAAATATGAAGTTATGGCATCAGTCCTGATTAGTTTCTTGAATATATTTTCTACTTAATGGTTTTGAAACAACTGCTTAATTTTTAAAAATTTTGAAAACTTGCTAATAACCTTGGTTCAAAATTTAGTGTATTGTTTAATGCAGGACATTGGCTACATGGGGAAAGATGCTTGCAATGCTTTTGTTATTTCAGGCAAATCAAATTAAATCAAACTATCGAACCACAAGAGAACTTTAGCGGTTTTTGTTTTTGTCTATGTTCGTTCGGTGGCATCTTGGTGATCTGTGAGTAAACTGTATTGATTTTTCTAGTCCTTCAAGACCTTCATACAGCACGAGGGCTGTTGGCATTTTGAAAAAGATTAATAAGTAGAAGCATACATGTTGTCATTTTGTCGTTGAAACTTGTCTGTAAACATAAATATGCCCTTTTATTAAAAAGGAACGTGATACAAAAGGTAATAACATCTTAAAGTACAAGTTCATGAGAATGTCTGAGGAAATGTTGGAAAAGAATAGGGAAGGATGGTATTGATACAAGATGTAACTACACGATCAGTGGAAAACCACAGCTTAATAAAAGCATTGTAAGTCAACAGGAGGGAGAAGTATCCAACAAGCAATTCTGAGAAAATTCACCTAGTACCATAAACTAAAAGTAAAGAGCAAGAAAAGCAAGTTTAAAAAATTAATATATTTGACTACATAGAACACAAAACTTTTCAGGAACAGGTAACTAGAAAGGCATGTAGTAAATATACCAGAATGTTATTACAGTAAATAACAAAGTAAACAAAGAACTCTTTCATGTCAATAAAAAGGATGGGATATTTCAACAGAGAAATGGCAAAGGACATAGTCAGAAAATGAAAAGAAATTATCACATTATCAATATATATGTAAAATTTTTTTCAATCTCACTACTAATCAAAGAGATGTGTGTGTGTGTGTGTGTGTGTGTGTGTGTGTGTGTGTATGTAGTACTAGGAACTGGGCCCATGCTAACCAAGTGTCCTAGAGCCACACCCCATCCTTTTTATTTTTTATTTGAGATAGGGTCTTATTAAGTTTCCTACACTGAGTTTGAACTTGTAATCCTCCTGCCTCAGCCTCCTGAGTAGCGGGGAATCGGAGATACAATCTAGTACAGTAAGATAGGGTTGTCCATCTAGCCACTCAGAGAACACTGTCCACAGTGAGAGTGGGTGGTCCCCACGCAGATGTGGTGACAAAGGGTGCAGTCACTGCTGATGGGTGTGGAAGCTGGAAAAAAAATGCTATTCTGCATTGCTGAGTTTTTGTTTTGTTTTTGTTTTTGTTTTTGCAATGATTCTTTCTTCATTTAAGAAAGAGATTTTAACTTTTCAGAAAAGTAGTGCATCGAAGAATTGTTAAAGTCGGAACTAGTCAACTAAACTACTAATTGAGCACGATTAAGTGGTGAATTCAACCTGCATTCGCCTTGGCCCCACCCCCAGGGCAGCGGCGGGGATGAGCAATTGAAGGAGACAGAAAGGGCTTGTGTGTGAACTTGGATACTCTTCCTCTGCTCTGATTCTGTACTTAGTCTTTTCAGCTCGCACGCATGCACGCACGCACCACGCTCACAAGCACGCACCACGCACACACGCACGCACCACGCTCACACGCACGCACGCGCCCAGGCTCGGATTCTCCTGAACAGAAATGGTGGCTTCCTGTTATTTGGGCTTGCTTTGCTACCTCCAGGGGCTTCTTAGGCACTGGGTCTGAAGCCGCTCAGTTTATTTTTTAAGCAGAGCTTTACCGGTTGGTCTCAGGAGGTTCGCCTCCTCTAGTGCCTGCGCTGTGCCGACTGCTGCTGCTGGCCGTGGCCTGGCGTGGTGTCTTCCTTTGAGACCGGCGTTTCCTCTTCTGCAAGACTGTGTTCTCCACCTGCGCTGGTCTAACGAACGGGCAAGGTGTAGTTCTGACCAAGCGCACACTCCTGACAACCACTAGCGATCCACTCAATCCAGAAAAAAGCTAAGTATTTAAATCTTAAGGTCATTAGATCTGTTTTTTTACAAATTCAAATTTAAATAACCATTTCAGTGATAGAAAATGATGGCAGGATAATCAGTAATGGACCTTCAAGCACTGAACTACGCCACCTTAGGATAAACTCCTGCGGAGTGAGATGTGAATACGGGAAGAACAGGAGTGATTTTAAAAGTTTCCAGCTGTTTTAAACATCTCCATGTATTTCTTAAAGGGATGAGGAAGAATATTAAATTGCTGTAGTATTCAGATTTAATTGCTGCTACTTGATACAGCAACATGTAAAAAAATGTCACTTTTTAGAATATGTCAGAAACTACACCCATTGCAACGGTTTTAGTTTCTGGTGAAAAACTTTAGAAGTCAGCCCCCGAAATGTGTTGTTTTTTTAAACTTGTCTTAAGGAGCAAAGTGAGCGAAGGCAGTTAAAGGCTATTAGTGCTGTGTAGGGATTACTTCTTATTAAACTATGAAACTCCTCTTTTTATGGAATAGATGATTTACAGGGGGAAAAAGACTCCAGGGTTAAGGTCTGGGGTATCCTACAAATTAGTTTCCCTTCACAGTCTTACCTGCAGCAAGAAGGCAAAGAGTACTGGAGAAAGAACACAGAGATAACCTTAGTTAAAGGAATAATCTACAGTGGTACCTTAATTCGCAAAGGTAATTTGTTTTATGGTTTTGAGGAAGATGGCTGCATTTGCGGCTGTGTGGAGTAGATGCCCACGGTTGTGTTTCTCAAGTTGTGTGTGCAGCTTGAGAACAGAAGCAACATGTTGTCGAATGTTTTTGTTCCGAGCGAGGTGGTACCACGTATGGAAATACGTGACAGCTCCTAAAGTTCTTAGTTCCAACAAGAAGTGGTGTCAGAATTAAAGAAGACCGCACTGTTGTAAAATGCACATCATTTAAGTAGATTCATGTGCTCAGAGTAGTCCTTACACGTATTGATTGCCTACCTATCATATTACTTTGATTCTTTTGAATCCTTGAATAAGGCAGGAATTAACAGGCTTTTTCTGCGAAAGGCTAAAGACTGAATACTTTTGCTTCTGTGGCACCTGCAACTGAACTCTGCCAACTGTAGGGAGAAGGCAGCCATAAGCATTCCATAAAAAGTGGCCGTGTGCCAGTAAAACTTTCCTCCTGGATGCTGAATTTTAAATTTCAGATGGCAGGAAATATTCTTTTGATTTTTCGCAATCACTTGAAAATGTAAAACCATTCTAAGCTCGCAGGCTGGGCAGTAACAGGCAGCAGGCCAGTCTGGGCCCACAGGTAATAATAATTTGCCAGACTCTTGTTTCCTAGATAGTGTTTAAAGGCCCTTTTGTCCTAAAGGGTAAGCATAGTGTTGGAAGAATACACAAGAAATTGGCCATTGTAATTGTATTTTGATACGGGCATGGGTGACTGAGCAGGGCCGACTGACTTTGCTGGGTGGTTTGGATTGTAGGGCCGGGGATTTAACTCAGTGGTTCGGCTGCCTGCTTCCCAAGCGCAAGGTCCCGAGTTCCATCCCCGGTACCGTACATACATACATACATAAAAATAAACTAAAGACTGAATTGCATACCACGTGCTGCATTTGCGTGTCCTTGAGTGTGTCCTCCAAAGGCTCGTGTGCTGGAGGCTTTGCTCCCAGGGTGTCAGTGATGAGACGGCGGAACCGTGCGGAAGCGGGATGAAGTGGAAGGGGACCAGATCACGTGGGACACCACGTTCAGAAGGGATTCATGCTTGTCAGCCAAGGTGGATTCGTTCGCGCGAGAAGCGAGTTGTGACCGAGTGAGGCCGGTCCGGCCCTTGACCTCTTCTGTGCGTACCTGTCCCTATTTCATTTCTCCGCCGTGTTGTGATGCAGCCGGGCGGTGGGGGGCGCCCTTCCCGGCTCCCAGTCCGTGTTCCTGCCCCCAGAATCATGAGAAATTACCCGTCCTCAGGAATTTGTTACTGCACACAAAAAACAGTCCCAAACACCAGGCACTTGCCTTGCCAAAAATGAAAGAGTTTCTTCTTTTAAAAGCTCCTTCGGGAACTGTGAATCCAACAAACCCGGTTTGACTGGGCTCTGCTGACTGTGTGGATCTAGAGAGGTCAGCTGTTAGCTCTTCCAGAGCACCAGCGTGATGATTCCCCAGCTATCGATAATAACCTGAAAAGTGGTGCGGAATTAGGAGGCTTGGACCTTTAAGGTGAGTGAGCAAGTGACCAATTATGTCCTGATACTTGTGCCAGTAGGAGAATGAAATCCCTGAGTCATTCTTCTAGGGAGACCATGCCACATGTCATGGAATTTGACAGAACTAAGCAAGAACACAGCACATACCTAGTGTGTGCCAGGAACTTGAATTCAGGGTACCTAGTGTACATGAACGTATATCGGAAAACCTATTACAGGAATCCAAAATGGAGAGGAGTATTCCTAGAAAGTATCAGAGCATCGTAATAGACTGCAGAAGAGAAGGGAGCTGCCTGAATATTGCTTCAGGTTAAAATGACGGCCGGGGATTTAGCTCAGTGGTGCCACCGACTGCCTGGCAAACGCAAGGACCCGAGTTCGATTCCCCAGTACCAAAACAAACAGATAAATAAAAAATGACACATGCTGGGTGCACTGGCGTAACCTGCATCCCAGCCACTTTGGAGGCTGAGAGGATCGCTTCAAGCCAGGAGTTCAAGGCCACCTGGGAACCCTAGCTGAAATTTGCCTCTCTAAACATCATAGATGTGAGAGAAAGAAAGCGCAAAGGGAGATCTACGGTCAGTCACACAGCTGTTGCTCACCAGATGGACGCAGATAAGTCTGCACAGCCCAGGTAGTCAGATTGTGTCCCTTCTCAGGACACTCGGATTCTCCCTTCCTTGCCTCCTTCTCTAGTGTCTTGGGATATGTTCTAAGGTTGCTCACTTTCAAAAATCGCCCTCGAAACTATGTCTTCCTTTAGCTCCTTCCCTACCCATTGACGTCCTGTCTCTACACCAGATCTCCCTCTCAGGGCACTGTGCTAGTCAGCCTTCTGTCACAGGGACAAAATGTCTGACAACAGCTACTCAAAGGGAGCGCAGATTCATTTTAGCTCAGTTTCAGCTTGAGGTTGGCTGGCTCCATTGCTTTTAGGCCTGTGACAGTGCAGAATAGCACGGTGAAAGGGTGTGACAGAGGTGGGCTGCTCACCGCATGGCAACCAGGGATCAGAGAGGAGAAGAGACAGAAAAGAACAGGCTGGGGTCAAGACACAGTGCCTAGGGTCGCACCCTCGTGACCCACCTTTTAACTAGGTCCCACTCCGAAGATTTCACTACTTCCCGATGTGGGCATCAAATTATGAATCCGTCAATGAAGCACCCCCTGATGAAGTTAGAGCCTTATGATCCAACCACCTGCAAAAATCCCAGTTGATCAATTAAGCCCCAGGCACATAGCTTTGGGAAATATTTTTAGGTCCAAACCATAACAAGCATCCTGCCCTTTGCCCTTTCATGACTATGTCATCTGAGTGTGATTATTTTTTTCCATCAAGTTTATTGGTACATTTAAAGCAAACGACACAGCTACGTTTATCATTGGGATCTTGTACCTTTACATGACAGGTCTTGCTTCTCATTTTTTTCCCCTTGTCCGTGCCCTCCCTTCACCCCTTCACCCTTCCCTATTTACAAGGACTTTTTTTTTTCTCCATTTTTTCACTTTTTCTTTTCCCTTATTTCCTTTCCCCACCCTTTCCACTTCCCCTTTTAGTGACTGTGATTATTTTTGAATACCTGCATTTCTCACCAAACTTGACATTATGGGTCATGGATTTTTTTATCTTCACCTTTTTTTTTTCTGCAAAGATCTAACACAGGGTTGACTATAGAACAGTTGGTCGAGAAACATTTGTTAAAAGTAAATAAATGAAGCAGACTGGCTTCTGGTTAGACAACTGGAAGCTATTTTACTAGCAGCCAAACATGTATGCAACTCATTATAGTTGAGCTGGCACATTGGTGAGTGAAGAAAACAAATGCTGGGTAAACTTGAATGAAATAAGTATTTGTCCAACAAAACCTGGATATTTTCTTCTTGGGTAGCAAATGTAAATATTTATTTACAAACAAAGTACTATCTGGGTGAAGACAGAATAAAAAGATTTACAAATCATGTACAGAAAACAGCTTGGGAAAAGAAGTTCTGATAGCATCCCTTTTTATTATTCAGCCTTTCAAATTACTTCTTTAGGAGGTAGAAGACGCCGTGGAAAAAGAAAAGAAAACAGGAAGACCCAGAGATACAGCTCAAAGTGAATATTGCTTCTCTTGGATTTATTCTGGAAATTCCTCCAGGATGAAACTTCAGACCTGTTGGTGAGATTTACCTTTATCTTTCTTTCTACTGTCACCTCTTTTAATCCTACACCAATGTTCAACCAAGGTAGACAAGACAGTTAAAATGCCAATCTCTGAAAATTTCCCTGCAAAGCAGAAGTAAAGATCTTGGGGAAAACATTTGTTGAATGTTTGATCTGTTGACCTACGCATAGTCAAAAAAATCCCAACAGTAAATATCTTTAAATCACTGTGTATTTACACAGACCTGTTCAACTTTCTGAAAACGTTTAAGATAATAAATCATGGGTTCATCCCATTTTAAATCAAAGCCTTTATATTTGTTTCTATTTTTCTTTCTACGTATAAAAGAAATAAAGACACAACCAAGATATCATCCTGTCTTGTCCATGTTTCCCAAGTATTGAAATTTAAATGAAAACGTATGGTATTTTCCCACATAAATTAGAGAGCATCTCTTCTGAATCCATACATCTTGGATAGTTTTAAGTCCAAACATGATAAATATTGAGAAGAGATGCAAGACTGTGGCAGTATGTCTACTAAAGAGCCATTCTGTACTTCTGTAAATTCATTCGCTCCCTCCTTCTCCGTCCCTTTGCATGGATGCCCCTACCTACACTGCCTCTATGAACTCGACTCACTTGTGTCCTTTTCAGGGTTTTTATCTGAATGCCATCTTAACAGAAGTGCGTCCTTGAATCGAAAAGTCTGAATGGGATCAAGAATGAACCTCATCGAACACTCCCACGTACCGGCCATGGAGGAATTTTCCCTTTCTGAAAGTTTATTTGGTAAGTTATCAAATTGCTTTGAATATCATTAAGAGCAAAACCATCACTTGGAAATACAGAAGAAAAACACATAGATAATGAATCCAAAAGAGAGTCAAGAAAAGGTTTTCATTTGCTCTAAGTACTCAATCGGTGTCAACTATGCTGACAGGCTAGAGAAAGGTCAGACCTTGGATTCGCTGAACTGAATGATCTCTCTCTCTCTTTCTCTTTCTCTCTCTCTTTGTTTTTATCTTTATTTGGTACCGGGGATCAAACTCAGGACCTTGCGCTTGTGAGGCAGGCGGCGGAACCACTGAGCTAAATCCCACACTGTCTCTCTTTTTTAGTAGATGAGAACTGCAAGACACCAAGAGCTTTGTGACTTTCCCAAGGCCACAAGGCTAGATAATTAACTTAGCTGGGAGTCAAAGCTGAGTCCTGCTCTAGGGTATTATTATAGCAGGTACTAAAATATGAAACCTTGATTCTTATGTTTAATATTGTACCTATTGAAGGCCGAGGTTACTTAGGATTCAGCTCTTCTTTAGTTTCCTATCCCTTACTGCTGGGGACCTATGGCGCCGGGTCAAGATTAGTCACTAAACAGGGCTGAGAACAAATTGGACTTTGTTGTTTTCAGTAGATCTGTAACCAGATGATGCCATAAAATGATGTATTGCTCCACTTTATCCATTTATAAAAGAAAAATCTCATTAGAAAGCATTTCAATTGAGAACATTAACTAAAGAATTAAAAAGCAGTAGTATTTTGGGTGGGGCATGGAGCCCTCCTGCCACTTCTAAAATGATTGATTCCCTTCTGTATTAAAAACCCTGCTGCAGGGTTGGGATGGTCCCAGATTTCATCTGACATGAATTAATGGATCATGCTAAACTATAATAGGGAAAATGCGGACATGGGAAATCCCACCAAGCTCAATGTGTTAGGCTATATCTCTTACTTGGTTTCCATTATCCCCAGAACACATTCATTATAGTTCATACTACTACCTACTAGTCATCACTCCTTTAGTGTGTAATGGTTTATAAGATAATTTCCAAGGAGGGAGTCATTGCAATACACACACACACACACACACACACACACACACACACACAAACACATATATCTACTTGCCCCAGGCAGTATGAGAGCATTTAAGGACACTGAACATGTTTTATTCATTCTTGTACGTACTTGATAAATAGCAGCCTGGTCAGAAATAATAGAAGGGAATGGGAAAAATAAGTTGGGGGTGGGGAAGAGGTGCTGATCAGTAACTTTCAGAAAGATCAAAGACTGCAGTAATTATTGATGAAATCCAGTTCTCACGCATTCTCACTGTATCCTGTTTCTTCCTGCTGGCTTTTCTTCATCCTGTGGACACAGCTGAAGGCAGCAGGAGTCCCTGCCTTCATGTCCAGGCACTTGACTGTTTGCTTCTGGTCTGCCCTTCTAGTCCTTAGATAAATATATAGACATCTTCATCACACTTTACCAATCAGAACTCACAAACGACTAATTAGGATGACTGGTACATATTATAGGAAGGGAAAATTCCACTGAAGATTATTTTACAAATAAAAATTGTCATGCATGTCAAAATCTCCTAATCCGAATAATCTACACAGCTCCATTTTGTACATGGGATTATAGGGTTTCTCCTGCAACCTATCCTAGTTCTAAATAAGTGTAGGAGGGTGACCTTAGCAGACATGAGGTGAAAAAGATGCCAGTGATCACAAAAGGCTGCATTAGGTTAGATTAGTGGAAGTTAGAAGCACCTGAAAAGTGACTGCTAAGGATGCCCTGTGACTGTGCTGTCCATGTGTGTGTCTAGCTCTCTCTGGCTAGATTGCATTCTTATCTCAGTTCTTAACACTGCATTTAAAGTTTCTGGGAATGTGTACCACAAGGTACATGAGCTGTAATGCGCAGCTGTTAGCCCTGGCTAGCAGTATTCAGTCCTCTCTTCTGGTAAGCAGATCTGAACCATGTGTGACTCCTCCTCCTCCTTTTCCCTAATAAGTTCTTGAGCTGGGCCTTACATTCCTTTAAAATTTCATGGCTTCAGGCTCACTGTACTCAGCATACCCAGGCTTAAAGTAGGCCACAGGGGCGGATGAAGAAAATCGATTCCTTCGTTCCTCTCCTTGGTCTTCTTGTGTGTCCTGATGACACAGATGGATTCTATACTGATGGATTCCCTGAGTTTTTGGTGGAACTTATCAGGAGAAACCTTGTGGCCTGTGGACCAATAGCCTACAGGGCCAAACTCAGCACTCCTGGACCTTAAACTATGCCAGAAATTCAGAAGAGTTAACCTATGGATTCAACTAGCCAGAAAGCTAGACTCTTCTCCAATGGTCTGTATTCTCAAGGACAGCAGTCATGTTGCAGCAAGCACCAGTGGTGCTTATGATAGAGCATAAAAGACAGCTATCATTTCTCCCATTCACAGAAAGCTGATGTTGGAGTAAAGCAGAGAAGAAGACAGAGGGTGGACTCACAATAAACACATAAATACATAAATAATATCAGGTTTGTGGGAAATGCTACGAAAACAAAATAAGGTGATGTCAGTAGCTGGAGGGATGGGCTGGTGTGGACAGGAAAGGCTTTTGAGGAGTTGGCAGTTGAGCTGAGATGGAAAGCCAGTAGTCAAGAACATTCCAGAAGAAGGAAAAAGCAAGTGCAAGGGCCCAAAGCCTGAAACGGATTTGTAAGGGCCTTGTCTTCCCATTTTTATTTAGGGCAATAGAAAGTCTAGAGAACTGGCTCTGGACTCTGCTTTTCCACTAATCATCAATGCAGTCTTGAACAACTCATTCAAGTTCAACTGGTAAAATGAGATTATTAGGCTGGGAATTCTAGGGCCTCATCTAGCTTTACCACTGCAGCTCACAAATTGCTATAGTTGTGCATGTCAGGAAGTAGCAGCTCAGTGGTACTCACTCCACACATCACTTGTTAAATCCTCTAAGGCCACAGTGCAGCGCTGCCTCTCTCCTTGCATGCTATTATAAAGACCTTCATTAAATCTCAGCCTGAAGGCCCCGGGAAGGAACCTATATTGAAGACAAATATTGCTGAGCCCACACTAATGGGTGCTGGAGACATTAACCGCCTTTTCAATGATAAACTTTCAGCTTCTTCTAGAAATAGCCAGGGACCCTTCATTTTTCCAAAGGCTTTGCCTAAGGTGAAGGAGAATATCTCTACCCACATACCCCAAAAGGCAGAGCCCGAAGAAAGGGTTGTGTGCTGGCAGTTTATGTAAGAGGTGAGAGGGAGCCAACTTGGAGGAGTGGGGGGCGGTGAGATAGGGAAGGTGGGAGGAAGTGAGCTGTCTGGGTCAACGCTGTGTTCAAGGTGGGTTAGGTAACTCTGAGAGTGGCATGGAGAGTTGTCCGTGGAAAGATCATTGACCGGAGCACTGAGTGACCGGTCTTTGCTTCCCTCTGGCTGGGGTCATTCTTTGGGCACCGACTGTCCTGCACTTCTGGACTGTCCTTGTGCTCAAGTCGAGCGGTCTCCTGCGGTGTTGGAGAAGTTGTGGGGAGAATGCAAAAGGCCTGTGGCATGCTCTAGAAATGCCGCCGTGTCCTCACTGAGGCGCCACAGCTGCAGCTCAACGATTGTGACATCCTCACCACAGCAAGGAGCAAAAACCTGAGGCAGACAGCGGGCTGTGTTCCCCTCTGTGAGATCCTTTCGTTTATTCTGCTCACCTGGCAAATGCAGATAGGATGGATCCAGCCTGTGGGTAACTGGATCCACATGAAAGACTTGGGGTGGAAGGACACGGTAACCTCACGGAGATAGGTCTCCCTTCCTGTGGGCGAGCCTGACAGCTGAGGAACCTGGTCAAATATTAATTGAGTGGCTTAAAAAGGCATCTCTGATGAATGAAGGCCAGGTTTCGTGTAATTAGTGCACAATAAAAAGCAATAATGGCAAAGTCCACGGCTTCCCGCAGTTAGATATAGCAAATATCATAGCAAATGGTATATTAATGACACTCTGTATTTCATTTTAGTACATTGAGGTTTAAAAATTTAAAAATCCCAGAGCTTTAAAGACGGATAGGCACAGCATTCTAAGAACAGGACAGAATAAAGAAAAGAAGGTTTAGCCTTACGTTCTTATGCCCATGCTCCTAGGACAAGTGTCTGGATTTTACTTACCTCCTTGGGGTTGGGAAATTTTCATTGAACGTGAGTGGCAAAAAGACATGAAGTGAAAAGAAACGAAGTCTCAGAAACCAGTGGCACCCTTGGTTTTCTCCCTGTGAAATGGTGGGGACAGCGATACTCTACAGCTTCTTGGGAGGAGTGAATGGGTTGTGTGGGACACGGTCTGTAGACTCCAGGATATCCCAGAACGTTACAGTCAACCCAGAATTTAAAAGGTATTTGTTTCATTTTAAGTGGTTGAACTTACAAATGTCAATCCACTCATTGAAAAGAGGAAGTACTGTTTATCTTGTCATTGTTAAGTGCGAAGACTTTTCAAAGAGCCAACAAAAATCAACACATAAATAAATTTCTGGGCATCCTAAGGAAGGAAACATGTGCTCTCTGTCACCTTGGCACAACTGTTGCCACAACAGCTTTTGAATCCACATTTTTATTATTGTATCTAATGGTTTTTTCTAAAGCCCCACTCTGAAGGAGACCCACCAATTAGCGGAAGGCAGAGGGCATATAATCCTATTCACTTACATTCCATTTTATTTGGCCATTTCTTATTGTTTTATATGTCATTTAGCTTATGCCCATTTTCTCTGGTTGCTGTATTTTAATTAGAAGATATTTGATTTAAAATATGGTTCTCATCTATGCTTAAATTAAGAGAATCTTCCAGAGGTTACCGAATCATCCAGATGCTTTTAAATGCAATTAAAGGTCTTGAGATGAAGTTGTGTAGAATATTTCTGACATTTGATTTCAAGTAGTTTTCCCTCTCACTGAATTCAACTCAAGCAAAGGTAGTTCTGGCTTATTGGGTGAATTAAA